GTTAACCTGTTAATACAGTGTTACATTCATTAAACCACCTCTGTTATCCTAAACGAAACAGGGGAACGACTATTTCGCGGCGTCGATTAACATGATCATAGCGAGAATTTACGCCTCTCGCTGACGCGTTCTCCTAGCGACCGCGTCTCTCCGCGAACGGTCGTAACATCACCTTTTACCTTATTTTCCATGCCTATCCCTCCAAGTTATGTTTTTATTGCCGGAAGCATATATGGGCCTCACTACCTGTGAAGATTTAGGGAAGAATTTTTGGAAATAAAGGCTAAACCTATGAACTGTCTATGCTGTGTGACGGTCGTTGGTTCAGGTAAAGAGCTCAAGGTTTGTATTTCACCCGGATTGGGGCGAACCTCTCCGTTATGAATTATACGTCCCAAATAGAGTACCGACGTGTTTGGGACGGAGCATTTAGAAAAATTAGAAGAAACTCCGACGGAGCATTTAGAAAAATTAGAAGAAATGTTTGGGACGGAGCATTTAGAAAAATTAGAAGAAACTCCGGCATTTACGAGGGTATTTAATACGGTGTACAATCTTTCTAGAGCTTGATCCATGGAGTAGGCAATGATTAGAACATCGTCCAAATAGACAACAACGTACGAATAACACGTTGGCTGCCATACGTGTTTTCAAAGGAATTTCGAGAATGACCTCTCGTTTCGTTTGTTCGCAACATTAAAATCACCAGCCGCTGTGAATACAATGAAGAAAAATGTGGTACAGATCATTCCGACCAAATGGTTTCTTATGTCACCACAATTAGAAAAGGATCAAATGGTACAGAAAACTTGGCATGCGACTACTTCTGAGGATTTCTATGGTAAACGCTTTGATGGTTTAAAAAGAATTGCAGCCAGGAAGAAATTAGAATATTCAGACAAGTATTAGTTGCTAGATTATTAGGCTTGTCAAAAATGCAAAATCCCTGTTTTCGATGGAGTCAGCGTAATATCGCTGTTCGGAACAATGTATGTTAATAAAAGACGTCGAATGGACCGAACAAGGACACAAAAGAATTTGAAGAAAACAACAACTTATTGTCCAAATCGTCCAACGAGGGTAACCAATGCTGTATACTTCCTAGAATTAGAATGAATAAGGATTTGGCGAAACACGCTGGTCATGTCCAGACTAATAAAACATCTTGCTTTTGCAATCTCGCGACTTGATCCGCAACAAGGGGTAAAGGATACCGACCCGGGGCCGTATTTTCATTTAGTTCTCGAAAATCTACCAATCATCTTTCTGAACCTTTCTGAATCTTTCGTCTTGACGAGTAACATAGGGCTCGCGAACGGTGAATTACTAGGCCTTATGATAGTTGGCTATGATTAATTCGCTTATTCTCTCACGTACTATTCTGCGCTCTTCCTCGCGAAGTCTATTAGGGGTTAGGACCAATTAATTGTATTTCTAACTGGCCTGTATTTACGCGAGTACGTAGGAAACCCGTAACGAATGAATCTTTGAATCTTCTAAAAGAAAGATCGATCTTTATCTCTACCACGCACGCCATTGTCAATTTCGTTAACATCGATCTTGTCTTCGGCGGTTTTATTACAGGCATTAATTATTTGTCTTACACATAGCGAGGCTATTTTGTGTAATATTACGTCAAAACCTTGACTTAAAATGTCACGAACAATCGCGATATCCTATTTTGAAATAAACATCAGCGAGGACATGACGAATTTATCTCTAATGTAAAACCACTAACACCCGCAACGGACAAGAGTTGAGATATACCAATATTTCTCATTCCTCGCATTACTACTATATCGATCGTTCTTTTGCCAGAAAATCTCAAGGCTAGCGAGGGCATGACGAATTTATTTCTAATGTAAAACCGCTAACACCGACAACGGACAAGAGTTGAGATGTACAAATATTTCTCATTCCTCGCATTACGACTATATCAATCGTTCTTTTGCCAGAAAATCTCAAGACTACGGATTCTTTAATTAGTGAACACTCGGCTCCAAAATCGGGGTGGAAACGACTCATCCGGATGACTTGATCCACCAGTTGATGCTTCCACTATGTAGAAATCGATCCGACGCTCGTTATTGAAATTATATTCAGGGCACTGCTTTCTAAGGATTTTCTCCATAATCAAATTGGCGGCTCGGAATCGGTCGTAAGCTCTTGCAGTGTTATAACCGGCACTGATCTCACTTCTGATATCGGATTCAGGTTGGCATTTTGGGGCGTTCGATAAACCTTTACTTACTTTACCGTCGCGAATATAGCCAATATTTATCAGTACGAATGTGGAGACTAAAAGAGGCTATGAGTAACGGCAATAGGATGTCCGAGATGACGGTGACAACGAATCCAGGTTCGATAACGAATCCACGATCCACGGGAGGACAAGTACCAACGTACTACTCGATTCGGATCACTCAATCGGCAATTCGTCCAACGACTCTAACACTCTAACTCTAACTCTCTTAATCCAAAAGAGGCTGCCCTTATATACTCCTGTCCCCGCTTCTCTGGTTAATCTTTGTTTTTAAGGAGAGCCATATAATCGTTTCATACCTCTGTCAGGTACACGTCCCTCCCGTGACCGTGGCTACGTCCGGTGACCTGCCATGTCACTTCGAGCCCAAACCCATCGTCATAAAGTCAGATTGGAACATTAAAACTATTTCTTATTTTTATTTCTTAAGGGCGGCTATAGTAAAAGTCTGGACTAGTGTATTGAGGTTTGTCCCAACATTCCGGACGGGAAATCCCGCTGTCTTTCCATCTCCGATATATATACCGATACTTTTTTCTGTACCCATAAAAAGATTATTTAGCAATGTGTCGATGATAAATTTTATTAAAGAACGAATATCCCTAATTTTATGCATTAAATAGTATGACATGAAATTATAACGGTAGACAAAAATATAAACGCATTTTAAAAACTTTGTAATAACTTAAACCAGTTTAACGAAACATTTAATGAAAGCCTTTAAAAATCATTTCAAATGCAATTACAAAAAGTTTCAAAGAGTATAAACTCATAATGTAAAAGATATTCAGGGTATTTAGATTGATAATTAAGCATTCAAATTAAGCCATGTAGGCATCTTCGACAGAGAGCAGCACAATAGACTCTTTGTACCTACCTGGAGTTATAAGTTTTATGGTACTTTTTGGTAATTTTAATATGGTTATTTTTAAAGACTTTTGTAGGGCTTCTATGCTTATTTGATGATTTCTATTCAGAATAATACTGCAAATCAGCCTGTAAACTTTTATTTGCCTGTTGGAAAACACCGTGCATGAACAAATTTCAGTAATAATTATGTTTGTTAATTTGTGAAAAATTAATGATCTATTTTATCCATATTTACAGTTTAGATGTATAATCTACAATCTACACAAACACTTTACGTAAAAATCGATAAATATTTACATAAAACATTAATGAAGAAGTATTAGGTTGTTACCTCCGGTGACTCTCTACATAAACCAGAATCCATCCTGTGGTCAAAGCGGCTACTAGCTGTGCAAATATAATTAGTCGGACCGCAATAATCCTAAGGAACTGTCATAAAACTAACCAATTTTACTTTACCGTCAAGGCCTTTAATTGCTACAAAACATCCCTCAAGTCGAGACATTCCTTAGGGTTATTGTTCAATCAGATAAAAAATGGGAAGGCCGGATTTTTTCCATGTTCAACGGTTATTTCCACCCACAAGTGATCTTTGGTGGGGCGACCAACACCCAGCAAAATTTTTTCTCTGCGACAGCATCGTCACCGAACTTCACTGGGTTTTTATTTGTTGACCAGTCAATATCTTGACTGGTTTTTCATACCTACGTCAGTTACCATCTCTTGACTGGTTTTTCGATCATTAATCAGTCATCAGTTTAACTTACTATTTACTCTTCGCTGAAAATACATCTACACGCACCACGCGTAACTATTTATATCTACAAAGTTGTCGGAATAAAGTGCATATTTTAATTTGTTAACAAAGTGTTATCATCAGTTCGATTATTAAATATATTCTTTGAACAAATGGACTTCTAAAAAATCTGTTATATCCCCAGCGGGAAAAAATTCGTCTGGATTAATACCATTCCTCTACTTCGACTAGTTTCCGAAATATTCCAGAAAATGTTTTAAAATATAGCTATGCTAATAAGTTTTAAATGAATTGTATGAAGCGTCTTAGCTGTATCTCACATTCTTCCTTGTTTTTCATTTTTGCACTCAACGTATTTATAGCAAAATGATCAAAATCAGATAATAGCGGTCAGTTCGTAGAAAGTGATCATTAATATATTTGGATAAAGTATAGTATCTGGATTGCAAAATTTGTTATCTGAATATGTCTTTTCAGGGGTATTTTAGGTTATTGAAGCCGTTATTTTTAACAATAATAAACAGTTTTGAAAATTCAGCCTTATGAATATTTGACCGACAAAAATCTTAACTCTACAAATCCGTATAAGACCGTGATCATACAAAGCAGTAAAACAAGCAATGGCACAACTAATGCCAATACATCAAATGTTAATTTTACCGTTTACCGCTGTTTGTATAATCACAGTCTAACCGGCCACCTCACGGAATGATGGCCGGAAAATAAAAAATAATCCAAACTAAAATAATCCAAATAATACTCACAATTCAAATGCATACAGAGTAAGTCATACAGTAGATTAAGAGTACCAAATTTTTAAAAAGATCTCAAAGGTTTCTAAAGATTGTCATTCTAGTCCCCAATATTTTGCAGTCCGGATACTATACAAAACCCACAAATTTTAAATTATAACATAGAAAAAATGTTCAAATCGTTAAAAATGAAAAATGCCGATCGAAGTAAGAAAAAGTTGTATTTTTTGTAAAAATGCGAATACACATGAATATTTTTCAAATAAACACTATGCGTGTAGTAGCCGCTGACACCAGACTCCCTCTGTGTTCTCGTTTATAATTAGCTCTAGTTATAGTGGTAACTTCTAGGTGGCGTATGCCATGTTTTGATTGTAGTGTTAAACCTATGTGTGGTCATGTGATTATTTTCCAAGTTTTTGCATGCACGGGTTCAAAGTTAATACACTGTAATACATATACGACTGTTGATAACCCTGTATATATGTATACAGATATGTTTGTGTATACATCGGTGCCTGATACGGAAATGCTCTGAAGACAGTTGTTGCCGATGTCAGTTTATCATAAATTAATTCAATTAATGTCAATTAAAAGTTGGAATCTGGAATTCATTGATAGTGTATTGAGATGGGACTGTACAATATTTTACTATTCATTTTTATTGCATTATGGCAACCTACCATGCAATATATCCTTTTAAATAAATTTTACGGAAACTATCAAAATCAATTACGCACTCAAAATGAGTTATACAGCGGGAAATACAAATATGAGATTAAAACAATTGATATGCCAGTATGTGATATTAAACTGATGTAGAACTTTTATCGGTGACATTTGTTACGAAGTATTTTTATATGTTTACTTTTCTTGCCTATTTAATGTACATATATTCTTACATTTATAAATTACCGATTATTGCATATGCTTTACGAGAAAATCTCTCAATATACAGAGATCTAAACTTATTAAATTACTAAAGTTCTATACATTACATACGTGTATGAATCTTATTTATATTTTTTTGTATAAAAAGTAAATTATTTTAAATATATCACAGGTGGATCACTTTAGCTTTTCAGTGCCAGATACATTTAAATTACGATATCTTGTAAATAATACTTGGCAAATCAAAAAAGATGCACCTATTTTCTTTTATACTGGAAATGAAGGTAACATTGAAAATTTTGCTCAAAATACTGTAAGTATACAACCTATAGGATAATTAACTAACATTTCATTTAAACATAATTTAAAATTCCGACTTAATTCTTATATTTTACAGGGTTTTATGTGGGACATAGCTCCAGAATTTGGAGCTTTATTAATTTTTGCTGAACATCGTTACTATGGAGAATCTATGCCTTATGGCAATAAATCCTACATGGATTTGAATCATTTAGGATATCTAACATCTCGACAAGCCCTTGCAGATTATGTCGATTTGATTCAATATGTGAAATCTAAACCAGAATATAAGTATAGTCCTGTTATAGTTTTTGGTGGTTCATATGGTGGTATGCTTAGTGCATGGATACGTATGAAATATCCTCATGTTGTACAAGGGTTAGTGAAACAGTACCAACTAGAAATACAATAAGAATGATATATAATATAAATAAAAATTATATAATATTACAGAGCAATTGCATCTTCAGCTCCAATATTACAGTTTAGTGGAGTTACGGAATGTGAAGCTTTTGTACGCATAGTTACCTCAGATTTTAAAACAGCTCATACAAACTGTCCAAAACTTATTCGTAGATCATGGAATACTATCATCAATATAACATCAAGCGGTAATAGGGTAACCTATTATTTATATTGTCTTTTTATATTTTTAAAATTATTCTCTATTTTTCTAATAGACAAAGGGAGAGAGTGGTTAGCAGATAGTTGGAAATTATGTCAACCATTAAAAAATTCAAGTGATGTCCAACAACTAATGTCTTATTTGGAAGATATTTATATAAACCTTGCTGTAGTAAATTATCCATATGAAGCTAACTTTTTGACACCATTACCTGCTTACCCCGTTAAAGTAAGTATCTCAATTTACAATTAGTTTATTGTTCAATTAATCTCTAAATAAAATTATTTCATTTATGTACATTTTATAATTTACAAAATATTGTTGTTATTACAGGCTGTATGCAAACATCTAACAAATCAATCACTCGTAGGAACAGAGTTGTTAATAGCAATACACAAAGCAATTAATATATTCACCAATTATTCTAGTGAAACAAAGTGTTTAAATTTAAATGATTCTGTGCCTCAATTAGGTGCTGTTGGATGGCCTTTCCAAGCCTGTACAGAAATGGTAATGCCAATATGTTCAGATGGAATAAATGATATGTTTAAACCTCGTTCATGGAATTTGGATAGATATATCAATGACTGTATGAAACAATATTCAGTAAAACCACAGCCAAACTTAGTATGCGAACAATATGGATGTAAAGATCTGTCTACTGCAACAAATATTGTTTTCAGGTATATATATCGTCAAGTAATATCAATTTGTTTTACTTGAAACAATTGAAACAAATGTGAGATTAATATATGCATAATACAAGTCTACATATATATACTAATATTTCACATGAAATACAATTATCATTTATAATGTAATCTAATGTGTAATATAATGTAATTCATTATTTTGTTTCATTTAGTAATGGTTTAATGGATCCATGGTCTAGTGGTGGAGTATTACAGAACTTATCTTCTTCAGCAGTAGCAGTAATAATACCAGAAAGTGCACATCATCTTGACTTAAGAAGCAGTAATGCCAATGATCCATATAGTGTTGTTTTAGCACGGAAATACCATCGCTTCTTTATTAAAAAATGGATTCAAGAATACCGAGATAAAAACAAAATCTATTAGCTAAATTTTTATACTAATGTTGTGATGGGAAACTTTAATAAAAAACGAATATGCGGAAAACTATATAAGTACATAATTATTTATTTTTATTTCGTAAATTATATACAAAAAAAGCATAATATACACACAATAATAATTACAAACATCTAGTATCCTTAACTGCTTTAAGTAATTGGTAAGGAATTGAGAATAATAAGAATTTTTATTATCACAGTACTTAATGTCGTAATAAAAAGTTAAAACAGACAAAATTTTTAAATATTTTCGATAATAGAGAGTAAAAAATAATTTAAATGCAGTTAAAATCCTATTCTGCCATAGAGATGTGCTTTGCTTTCTCTATAAGTTTATTGACATAAATGATTAAGCAAGCATTAGTACACGTTAAATTTTAAACAAAATTCAAGTTACTTTTGCGTTTTTTAAATTATCATGTTTTAGTGACAAAATTTAGCGTTATATAGAAATACTTATTATAATACTATTATTAAGCTAAAGAAAATCTGGTCTTTATCAAATTATAATACATAAACGACAATGAAAAAAGACATAAGATTGCTAAGTTTTTGATAAAGATTGCGTTCCTATTGTTTTCAGTTACATTTAACTCTAATTTCCTATATCGAGCTAAACGATCTTATTTCTTATTACACAGGTACAGCACATACTTTTTCTTCCCTAAAATCTTTATATCAATTCTCCATTTAATAGTAACTTGTATAGCATGCTATTAAATATGAAAATGTAATTTCTGTGGAAGTTGATTCATTGATTTAGATTTCGTCATCTAATATTTCATAGACATCGCACAAAAATGTATCTAAATACATAAAACATAAAATCTTACTGTTATAATTCTTCTTTAAGTATTAATGGTGTGTACAATATAAGAAAATCATCCGAGTTGAAATAATAATAACTCTATCGAACTTAATTCTAACTTCTGCAATTTATGTAAATTAGCAGAAATTAAGTACTTTGCATAGCATCTAATTTTAAATTGTATGATCATACAACACAGAAATTGTAGTTCCTAATAAACCGGTCTTGTTAATTAGATATTGTTCTATTATACTGTATATACCCTTTGCTTCTATGCAGTACTTAAGATCAGTGTGAACATACCTAATTCAGAATAGAAATAAATGTATAATTGCAGAAAATACTCATTTTCTCGTATATATTATATAAACAAAAATAAATTAGAATAATGCTTTAAAAAAATTCTAAAAAATCATAGAATTGAATACTTTGTGAAATATAAATATTTTTATCATTTTATAGATTAAACATAGTTTTAGTGTGGTGTACGTCTATGTGCTGTAGTTGGCCTTGGAACTCCAGATCGGCTTCGTATTTTTTTTGGTTGTACGAAAGTATTATCAATTCCGTTATTGTAAGAGAGATATATGTTTGACATATCAGGCTGAATTTGCTAGGAATAGAAATTATTGTAAGTATGATGATTTATTACATAAATGTGATTTATTGTTAATTTTGAAATATTAATACGTACATCCTTGTTAGTTCCTAATGGTGGCGTGATTTGTGCTTTGCGCATATTGTTACCTGTATATGCTACACACTTTAATTGCCATTCCCCAATATCTTCATTCCAATGAACATATCTTTCAATCGTTGTCTAAAATAGGATTGGTACATAGATCTTTTGGCGAAAATATTTATTTTTTTAAATAAAATATTACACTGCCATAGATACCTGATATTCAACAGGAATGTAACTATTTACTATTAACTCTTGAAGTTGTAATTCTCGCCCAATACCTCTAACTCCTTCCAAAAGCCCTTCCATCTCTCTTTGATGTTCTTGCTGTAAATCAGATAACTCTGCTTTAACAGACATTAACATTGTATGTACGCGACTTAATTTCTTAGTTTTCCCTGCAGCTTCTTCTTGCAAGGAAGAATATTTCTCTTCTATATCAATACGTTCAGCTTCCTTTGCTTCAATAGCTTTTTTCAACTGTTCTTCTCTGCTTTTACGTTGTTCAAGTTCAATTGCAGCTGCAGCCAATAACTGTTCTTGAGCTTCTGCTTTTTCCAACAAATTTTCACCTCCGACTAAAATCTTATTTTGTAGATTCTGCATTTTCTCTCGTAATGCTTCTTTCTCGCTCCTAGAATAATTAATATCTTATATACTCTTCAGCGATATTCTTTAACCAATTCTCTAAAAACTTACTGAGTTCTTTTTAATTCGATAACATCTTTGTCATCGGGACTTTTATCTTCTCTTTCAGCTTTGTCAATTTTTTCATTGGAATCTATATCCCTATCTTCTAATTCTTCCATTGTTAATATTTGACTTCTTCTACGTCGAGCTTTCTTCTCATGTCTAGTCTCCCCTATTTCTTCAGAATCTTCAGATTCGTCTTCAGATTCAGACATTTCAGCACCATTTTCTTCTAATTGTTTACGTAATTGTTCGATTTCAACTTGAAACTGCCGAAGTAAAGCATCTTTTGGATCTTCATTAATTCTCGCTCTATTTTTAATATTCTTAGCGCGGTTCGCATAACGAAGTGTACTGATAGTTTCGTCATAGTTTATATCTGCTGGACTTATATTTGCACACTAAATTGAAATAATTATTTCATGAATAATGGAGAAAGAAAACGTAGAAAGGAAAGAAAATGAATAATGTTACCATTAAAGTTTTTGAGTTACCACCCAAAGAATCTTGTAACAATCTCGTGAGTTTGGAATTTCTGTAAGGCACATGTGAACTCTGACCATCAACTAATGCAGATATTACGTTACCTAGTGTCGAAAGTGATAAATTAATTTTTGTTGCTTCTCTTAAACGAACTCCAGAAGCTTTTGTCTTGCTTTGTCTTTCCGAACCCTAGAGAATATCAATGGCATGAATTAGAAAATATATTAAACTAGAGTACAGTGAGATAATGAGAATAAGAATTTCATACAGCTAAATCAACTAAATGAAGCTTCCCCATTTTTACATGTTGTTCGCCATCCTCTCCAAGTTGACTAGATTCAACTGTGATTGTAAATATTACATGAGACCTCGAACTCAATACGTTCATTGCTGTAGCTCCAACAACACCTATGTATTATATAAGAATTATATATCATATGGTTGTTCATAAGAATTTCTTATAACATTAGAAGCATGGCTGTTTCCATTATCATAGATATTAATATTTAAAATTATATATGTACAATTATATATTCTACAAAGGTACCTGACAAGATACTTACGATTCTTATTACCAAGAGACATTATTCGATCTAAATCATCAGCATTATTGACAACATAGCCACTGAGATCTTTTACAAATACTCCAATATCAGGTCTTTCCTTTACTTCTAGTCTAGTATTTTGATCTTTACCAAGTAAGTCTCTAACTTCTTCATTATAAATCTCTAAATATGTTGCACGTACAAGGAATCTATCAATCAAACATTATTTCTTTATATGTTTAATTCACACAAAATACTTAAATATAAAATTGAATACTAATGAAATTTTGATTTATTTCCTTTTCCATAAAAAATACTTACTTTTGGTTGTCATGAGCCTTAGCTATGTATCCAAAAATATGTGCAAAGGTATTAGGAATGATTCCCCTAAGTTGTGGAGATGTCTTTGCTCCTGACATAGTATATGTTTTACCAGTGCCTGTTTGTCCATATGCAAATATAGTTCCATTGTATCCTTGAAGAACTTTATCCACAATAGGTCTCGCAGTTTCATTGTAAATATCAACTTGAGTTGAATCAGTATCAAAGACAGCGTCAAAGGAAAATACTTTTGGTGGTTCTCCTTGCGCAGCATTAGGATTTTCAACTGTTATTTCACTATTTATCGTATCCACGCGTACTATATTCTTACAGTGCCCGTCCAACTCCTTTCCATTTAAAGGTCGAACACGGACCACAACCCTAACATTTTCTATTTCCCCGAGTTCTGCTGTATTGTCCTAGATAAAGGATTATTATATTATTAAAAGTAAGAATATTAAATCATGAAAAAGTTATACGATACGAGAAATAAAAGAGTAAAATATCGACAAAATTTAATTTATATTCATTATTATATTTCTTTTCCCAAATTTCTAATGAATAATACGATTACGATAATAATACGATTTGACAGCCAGAACTGTCAAAAAAATAATTCAGTATCCTTCATTTAAAACGCATGTTTCTGTGATACATAAAAATACTAACTTCAGTCCCCGGCATTGCAGCTTTATTTCCTTCTAAAGTCACATAAACACAGGATTTAAAGCATAATACTATTTAATCTAAAAATACTGGTAAAACGCAATGGACTAGCAAACGACCTCCGTAAACAAATGGATCGATTTGTATAATTATATAGCATGAAGATAGATACAAGCAGGTCACGTCATCTATAGTCCATCAAATTAAGAACTCAATGAGTAATTTACCGATATTTTATTAGAGACATTTTAGTCAATGTTACAAAGTCCTGTAGTTGTATAAATAAAATATTTCTCTTTTATTTTATCTCCATTTGCACTTAGATTTTATCTTTCAGATATTAGACTATTAGACAATAATATAAATGAAATGCAAATTCATAAACAAAGGACAATGTACATATAGATCTCGATTTTTTGACGATAAACAACTTTTATATTTACCTTGTTGTATTATTTAGTTATACTATATCATATTATAGTATGAATAGGTAAGATGATTGATTTTTCATTTATCTTACTTATGAAATATTCTTGTATATGTACAAATATAATATATATTATGAAACGAAACAGTTTGATAAAAAATAAGAGAATAAATGAAATTAAGAAATATAATGTTACAAAATGTGTGTCTAAATGTAAAGATTTATTGAATTAGATTGAATTCTGAGAGTGTCACCTAAGGTCAGATTAAATGTTCAAATCAGAGTATATTTTAGATAAAGATATGTACATATATCTCTTGTTGTATAAAATAAGTTAATAACTATATAATTATTGAGCTAATATTTTTTTTCGTGCAATTATATCATTGTCAGTGATTCCACTTTAACACTTTAACTTATCATTTAT